GAACAGGAGCCCGTGCTGTGGGAAGCTGGCTTAAAAGCCAGTTCCCCTCAGAATCATCTCCATGGAGGGCAAGAGGCACAGCGGGAAACAGTGTGAGCAGGAACTGAAGCAGTCTCCGCTCACCTGGCTTTCTTCTGCGATTCTGCTTTTGAAACGTGTAGTACATTTCAAAAGCAGAAGCTCCGCAGGGAACACGGGGCCAGTGAAGGAGTCCCCCCACTCCCTGCGGGGCTTTCGCTTTTGAACAGTTCAAAGGTGGAGGTGCCTTTGTACAATAATCAAATAGTTGATGGAAATCCCATTGACTATTTGATTAATAAATTCATCTAAATTTAACATCCCAAGCCCAGACTGGCACAGTGATGATGTCTAAGCACCTCAGGTGACATTCCAGGTATCCTGACTCATGACAGGCACTATGGTTCTATGCAGTATTCCCTCTAAACTGTGCACTTGGGTAGCCACCCTGAAGAAATTCAGATGCTGCCCAGCTGATTAGGAGAGCGCTCACAGCCAGCACCAACTGTTTATATTGGTGGTGCACATGATTTGGTACAGATAACAAAATTTATTCCACATGGATAGAAAAAAAAAAGTAGCAGTTCTTCCAAAAAGAAAGACGACACATGAGCATAGAAACAAAATTTAGAGCTGTCTTACATGCATGTGTAATTTTCTCACATGGACAAGGCCATTTTCCACATTTTCCCCAGCATCCTGTCTTCTGACAGTGGTTAATGCCAGATGCCCAAAGGGAATGATCAGAACATGTAATCATCAAGTGAACCACTCTCTGTCACCCACCCAGAGTCTGACAAACAGGATAGGGACACCACACCTGCATCTTGGATAGCAGTCATTGATAGACCTATCCTCTATGAATTTAACTAGTTCTTTTTTTAATACTATTTAATCTTGGCCTTCACAACATCCTCTGGCAGAGTTTCACGAGAGTTAAAATAAAAATATATTTTTATTTTTAAAATGTGGATTGCTTACATTTATGGAGGTCAAACCCTAACACCACAGACTGCTATTAAGAATACTAGTACAGGTTGAACCTCTCTCGTCCAGCACCCTCAGGAACTAACCAGAGAATTTGCCCAAACACAAAAGGTCAATATTGTCCAGCATCCTGGTGTCTAACAAGTTCTGAAGCAGTAGCCATTATAGTACAAACAAACTGCCAGAAAAAGAGGGGATGGGGGGGGGAAGGCATTTGTACCTCTGGACCCCTTGGTCCATTCATCTGAAGAAGTGGATTATGCTCACAAAAGGTCATGGTGCTGAAGGACCATTTATTGTTTTTCAATTTTTTTCCACTTACAGACTAACACAGATACCTCTTTGATACTTTCTGAATACACATAATAAATAGTACTCAGAATTGGATCTCTGCCAAACAAATTCCAAATTCTATCAAGATTTCAACTAGTTATCAGCTTAAAAAATTCAAAAGTACACTTTCATTTACATTTGATTTACAGGAAAAAAAAGAGAACCCCACATTCATGTTGGTGGCAGAAAAAATAAGGTTTTGTTGAGAGAGGGGTTCTGCCTGCTTGTCAGTTAGCACACCCTTGTCCCACTTTACTGTATGTCAGTCATTATTTCCTCTTCCCTTTAGTCCCACTACATGCCTCAATGTCTCTTCCTTCTCAATTTCTTCCCATTGTCTTTTTCTAGGGCAAAATGGGGCTGAAGATCTACCAGACAATCCAACTTTTCAGGGCCTGACCAAACACCCCACAACAAAATAGCCACAATTATATGGTTAGCATGCTTGAGAATGGCTCCTTTTTTAAACATTTCTTTACAAATATCACTCATTTTGGAAAAATTAAGGGATTCTCCTACTACAATAGGATACAAAATGAGGGGAAATAAGGATTCAGGCAGGCATTAAAACCACGTAACATTCACCTGTTCTTAGAAGAGGTACAGCATATTCCAGGATAGCCACACAGAACTGAGGAAGGCTGAGCTGTTGGAACTGTAATTCTAAAGTATTCTCATTTTCCAGATCTGGCAGGTCTATGTGCCCTATATCCAGCGGTGACTGCAGATATATCCTGGAGTTTGCGCTAGCATGAGTACTGCTTCCACTACAAAGCAAATACAGTATAAGAATAACACTGACATTCCAGACAAACTTAACAAGTCTTTAAAAAAAAAAAAATGTTACCTGACAAGGAAAAAAAAAACCCCAAACTTTACTTTCTCATGTCTTTATGATTTATAAAGGCAGCCTACCTTTTTTTTCCTCCCTACAAAAAGTGGGATAAATATTTTTCCTTCAAATATTTTTCCTTAGAAATCTAATGTGACCTGTTTTAGTAGAGGTCTTCAAAAATGCACCTAGAAACATGGATCAAGAATGAATGGGGTTTTTGAATCTTTGACTTGAGTTCTTCTTCCATCTGTGTTGTAAATGTGTGTGTTAAAACTAAGGGTGTGTCTAGACTACAGAGTTTTGTCGACAAAACTGGACTTTTGTCGACAAAACTATACCTGCGTCTAACACTACCACTGAGTTCTGTCGACATAACGTCGACAGAACCCAGCAGTTTTGTCGACGCTGGTAAACCTCATTTGACGAGGCATAACGACTTCTGTCGACAGAGTTCTGTCGACAGAAGGTGTTATTGCATGTAGGGTTGTGTCTAGACTACAGGGTTTTGTCGACAAAGCAGCTTGCTTTGTCGACAGAACTGAATGTAGTCTAGACGCTCTTTGTCGACAGAAGCTTTGTCGACAGTATCTGTCGACAAAACTTCTGTCGACAAAAGCCTGTAGTCTAGACGTACCCTAAGTGTTAACAAAATAATCCAAAGTAGAATGGCCTGAATTAAAAAGTCACTTTTCAGTAAATCACATTTCATTTGCTTGTATCAGCTAAGGAGGTAAAAGGTTACCAGAACGCTTACTTAGTAAGCGATTGACTGGACTGCCAGCTGCAAGGGGCATGCTAGTGGTAACTGGGCTAGGTCAGGGAGGCAGATGGGGCCACATGGAGTCAGGGGGACCTTAGTCAAATCTGTACCATAACAGCCATGAGTAGGGGCAGACAGGACAACAGTCGTGGCCCAACCAAACCCCCAGCGGGAAAGGTAGGACTGTGGCCCGGCTGCAGCAGCCTCATCAGGAGCAGATGGGACAGTGCCATGGCCCACCAAGCCAGGCCCTGAATGCTCCACAGCAGCCCCAGACTCCATCCCAAGAGGCATCGCTGCACCTGACCAAAGGCCTGATAAGACCATCCACCCTGTCTGTCCTGCCTCTCCAATGGATAACCGATGAAAAATGCTAGATAAATTCATGGCAGGCCATTAATGGCTATTAGCTAGGATGAGTAGGGATGGTGTCCCTAGCCTGTTTGTTAGAAGCTGGGAATGGGCAACAGGGGTGGGATCACTTGAGGATTACTTGTTCTGTTCATTCCCTCTGGGGGCACCCAGCATTGGCCACTGTCAGAAGACAGGATATTGGACTAGACGGATCCTTGGTCTGACCCAATATGACCATTTTTATATCGTGTGTGCTTACAAGATGAAGAAGTAAAGATGCATTAAATAGAAGTATTATGAAAAGGGAAAAGGATAGATTTCCAGACAGAAAATTAAAACACAGTCAGAAAAGCAAATGATAGCAGAGTTCCAGAGATTCTAGGCAAGAGGAGAAAGTGTGCAATTTTTTAAAAGGGCCTACGACTCCTGATCATCACCAGCATTATAGCGGCAGAGGAAGGAGAAGGAGCTCTGGGCATCACTGAAAGGCCAAGAAGGGGAGGCTAACTTCCAGTCCCACCCCTTTCACTCACGGCCCCATCCCGCTTGGGGACCCAGAGCCAGCACTCCCACTCTTTTCCTAGGACCTGGCAAAGTCTGTTGGCCATCCTGCACAGTGTCTATGACTGACTTATCTTTAGGCATTTAAAATAGTGTTATTTGTAGTGCATCTCTAAAATACCAGTCAGTCTTCTCCTTAGGAACAGAATGTGAAAGATCAGAAGGACATTGCAAGTCGGGAATACCATTTAAAAATTAAGTCTCTTTATTTTAAAGACTTTTCCCAATTAGCATCCTAATTTCAACAATTAGACTTACAAAACAACTTCAGAGTTATGAACTAGTCAACTGCATACATTCTCTGGAACCAGAAGTACACAATCAGGCAGGAGCAAAGACCCAAAAAAATAAAACCTCCACCACAAAATAGAGAACAGTCTTGCGTAAAACAAACTACTAAAAAAAATGGGAAAACAGAATTTTATCCTTAGTAATGAATCATGGTAATGTTTCAAAGCTGTATCAAATCAATGGTCAGTTGAAAACTTCTGAAAAAAATAAGTTTTGTTCAGTTACAAGCATTCCAGAGTTACAAACAACCTCCATTCCCGAGATGTGCATAACTCTGAAGTTCTTTGGTACATGTTTTCCCAAAAACTGGCTAGGAGCTAACTAGGTAATTCTGGTAATAGGCAATAAGCTCAACTTAACTTCCCACTTGACTCACCTGGAAGATACTGCATCCCAATCTTGACCATCACCTCTGGCACGCTGACCTGTACGTCCAATCACAGATGGTCGAGGGCTACTACTTCCAGATGATGGATTCTGGGAGTGGGGAGGTCCTCTTGCTTCTTGGCCATAAGACATAGAAGAATTCTGAGAAGCTATACCTTATATAACAAAATCAGAAAAATAAATTTAATATACTTGTCAGTCCTACAAATCTCTCAGTGAAGTAAGAAAAATCCAAGCTGGTTAACAAATGACAAAATGCATAAAACTATTCATTAAATTGCCTGAATGAATCTCAAAGGTTCAGAAATAAATTTCAGACTAACACTAACGAAAGAACAATTTAAACTTTCCATACAAAAAAAAGAGTCTGAATCCTGGTATAAGTGCAAAATTCAGTTCAGTCTTAACTAGGGATGTTAGCAAGTGTGTTGTTTGGTAAACATGCAACCGCTGAATTTTTCTGATAGAGAGGCAACAGTACGGGTCAAGAGACTTTGCTTCTAGATTTAGAAGTCCCAGGTTCAAATCCCACTGTCAAGATCCCATCCAGAAGCATCAGAAAACATACCAAATTTAGAACAGCAATAAAAAAAGAGGAGAGAGAGAGAGCGCGAGCTGCCTTCTTTATTGCAGCTTGGTGCATACTCCCCGAAGACAAAGGCTTAGCCATTTCCATCTAGCAAAAATCTGAGCAACCTCAAAGAGCTGTTTTGTTTTAAATCATTTTCCTCTTCACCTGAAAGATAGCTTTCTTCCCAAAACATCGATGTTCTGATATGCAGGACAGGTAAAAATCAGTCCTACACCAGCAACAGGTTTAAGGCTCTCGCTCAGATCTAAGCATCTAGAAATGGAAGTTTATATATTTGATTCTCAGCTTCCCAATGCTACTCACCACTTGTGTTTACCTCTCCTAAATACTAAGAGATCAGACTTCAAAGTAGTAACATTTTTATATCTAAGAAAAGCTAGACTTGGAACATTTTTAAGAGGTTTTTATTTAATTGAGGTCCATACAGTTAAGGGACGTGAAAGTGTAACTGTGTCCACAGTTAAATCGATGATCCTGTGCTTATTGGTTAACTTTCATGCGATCCACAAGCCCCCATGCTGCTGCCTCTTTATCAGAGACAGCAGGGCAGAGGGTAGGCAGGGAGGCAGGCAGGCATCCATTGCTCCCCTGCACGTAACTGTGTAACCACTGAAAGTTTCAACACATTTTAACATCCCTAGTGCAGTTGGACTCACAGTAACAAAGGCACCTATTTTTATATGCACAAAAGCATAAGAAAAAAATTCCAATTAATATTTTTAGAATCCTAAAACATTTTTATTTAGCACATGTAGCATGCACAGCCTACTTACAGACTCATAGAACACTAGAACTGGAAGGGACCTCGAGAGGACAGGACCCAGTACCGTGTAGCCTCCTCTTATGGTGCAACAGGATGGAATTTTCAAACAAGTCAAATATCATATTTAGAAAATCCATTCCACAATCACACACCACAACATTTACATATACACACCTTGTTCAATGGAGAAAAAGCCTGGATCTCTGAAAAAATTAAGCCTTTTTCTTAGGAAGATACATAACTGTTGCAGGCATGACACAGCTCGTAAGGCTAAGCGGTGTTTTCCATCTTTTCCAAAAGCCAGCTTTAGTAGAGACAAAAGACTCTAAAACACAAGGATTAACAGTGATAGCTGGACACCAACAAAGCTTTAGGAAAGTCATTTCTTCATTGTATGAAGAAATGGTTAATCCTGCATTAAACACAAAAATAGAGTACAGGCAGTTCCCGGGTTACGTACAAGATAGGGACTGTAGGTTTGTTCTTAAGTTGAATTTGTATGTAAGTCGCAACTGGCGTCCAGATTCAGCCGCTGTTGAAACTGACCAGCAGCGG